CACAACAAAAAATAAATGTCAATAATAAATAAAAAATAAAATTTTCAGTTTGCTCAAAATAAACGGAATTTTAAAGAAAAAATTTCGTAAAAGTATTTTAAAAAATTTTACTTTTTATGTGGATAGGTGAGATTTCGCGTAGAACCCGCTATTAATTCGAAAATGTAAGTAGAGATGTGAAGTATTTTGACACAATAATATTTCTCACCAAGGTGTTGAATTCACACAGCACCCGTAAATGTGGAGGTGGAATGTCGTATACGTGAGAGTCGGACTACTTGTTATACTTTGTTTGACTCCATGAAATGAAACGTCACAGTTTCATTTCTTGGTGTTCATATATATTTGCACCAAAAAGTATTAATGAAATTATTATAAGGATTTAAAATGTCAAAAGTCTTGTGACTATTGTTTATAAAAGATGGCTCTGTAAGTTATAAACTGAGAGTACAAGAAGTGAGCAAATGTAACCAAAATTTCCGTTTTTTATTTCTTTAATAGTCCATGTGCGCGCATTACTCAAATTAAATTTAATAGATGTAGTAATTTCGCGCAATTTAAGGTATATCTTGTTGATGCCGGAGATCTAAGGACAGAACAGGACTTGTACAAACTGGCCAAGAATAGGTGTAAATTTTCAAAAAAATTTACTTTTTTGAATGTGACATTCATAGCAATTTACGAATATAGTTGTAATACCGCGTAAACTTAATTTCATTATAATTAACACCTCAGAGTTAAATTCGCATTAAAAAATTTGTAAATGCGAACTTTTTATGATAATTTTAAAATTTTTGCAAAATATAAATTTATTTTTCTTTGTATTTAAAGACGTGATGGTAAAATTTTGTAAATTTTATTAAATTTGTAAATGCGAACTATTTATGATAATTTTAAAATTTTTGCAAAATATAAATTTATTTTTCTTTGTATTTAAAGACGTGATGGTAAAATTTTGTAAATTTTATTAAATTTGTAAATGCGAACTATTTATGATAATTTTAAAATTTTTGCAAAATATAAATTTATTTTTCTTTGTATTTCTTTGTATTTAAAGACGTGATGCTAAAATTTTGTAAATTTTATGGAGTAAATTATATTGATTAAATAGATATTGCGAAAGAAAAATAAGAATTTTTCATTTATAGCGGTCCTAGCAGCGTTTATACGAAAAAAACATTTTGCTTTCAGACATCTATACCGCCATATGATTTGCGTAAATATTATTGTCAAATAAAAGCTTTCTTTTCGTATGATGCCAAAATCCTTTGCGCATTAAAATATTTAAGGAATATAAAATTTTACGACCTAAATACTGATTTCCTAACCTCAAAAATAAATTCACATATATAGCAAAATTTTTAGCAATTTAAATACATTCACTTTGAATTCATACATAATAATGAAATAAATTTAAAATTATGTTTTCAAAAAATTAAAGTAATTTGTTTAATTATCAGTGTATTTTCTGAAATATGAAATTTGCGATAACTATTTTAACATGCGCTGGTAGTCCCTATAAACGTTTACGTTTCTTTTATTTGAAACTAGATTAACCCGTATTATTAACGATTTTTAAAATTTTATTATTTAAACCGCTATAACTTTTGCGCGCATCATTGAAAATAATTAACCTTTTCATATTTATCATGTGTAATTATTATCCAATTCAACCACTAAATATGATTCTTGTCAGAGGAAAAAAATTTTATCTAATTCTTAAAAATTTTTGATATTGCTCATATAAACAAATTAAGCAGTTTTCCCACATCTAACTATTCAGACTAAAGATTTAATCGAATGTTTGCTGGGTAATACTTACATATTTTTAAATTCTTTATCTATTCTATAGCTTAGGCATCATAATATATTTCAAAAACCATGTAAAACAATGATTACCTAAACAAGTTAATTTCTACTACAAATAGATAAAGGTGGAAAAAAATATCAAAATTCTTTAAATTCTTAAAAAAATATTAAAATTCTGTATTAAATAACACTGTAATACAAAAGTGAAGAAAAACAAGTAAGAGTTCTATATTCGACTGTGACGAATCTTATATACCCTTTACTATAGTGTGCTAAACAAAAACAGTCAGTAGGTATGTATTTTATTATAAGAAATCAAAATCAAAAAATACCAGTTGGAATACGAAAAAGTATAAAAAAGTCCCCTTTTATAGATTTAAATGCTTGACTTTATGTTTCTAGATTCAATATTTTTAAATGTATGAAAATACTAAAAAGTAACTTTTTATAGGTTCTTATTTACTCTGGGCTCTACATGGTTAATTTTATGTTTCTAGGTTCAATATAATACCCCGCTATTTACAGACCTATTTTGCTAGTTTTAAATAGTGTTCTTCCTGAACGAATTATTGAAGATTCTGATCTCGCAGATATCTGGGGTCTTCTGAAAACTGATTTCAATAAACAGACAGACATACCTGACGGACAGACAAAGGGGCATTTGAAAACAAACTTAAATAAAAAGGGGCTTGCGTAGACGTACAGACGGATATCGCTAAACCGACTTAGAAATGGACAGAATTTCCAACTTATATATACTTTTGTAAAGAACCACATTAAGGAAAGTGCAATGCATTCTACTATTCCAAGACTGAGTGATGATGTCACGGATTCTCTCAAAAATCAATTTATAATATTGACAGATGGGTGGTTTCACTCTCTTGTCCCTATCACTTTCATCAAGGTTCGTACCTAATGTAGATTGCTTGTCCGCAACCTCATTACCATGCACAATACATTTCCTTGGTACCCAATACTGTTTAATAGTAACCATTATCTATCATAACGTGCCAAAGAGTATTTGTTCAAACAGGCACGAATGTACCATATAACATGCTACTGCTTTAAGAGCAGTTGGCCTATCGACAAATGATAATAGATTCTGCATTAGTCCCGTTGATCTTCAAGTGGCGTGATACTATTTCCATGGACGTTAGTCACACCAAAAAGAGCCATAGTGTCCATGGACGTTCTAACAATTTTTAATGTCCATGGACTTTTATACCTTCAAACTTTTGAAAATTTAAAAAAAAAAACATAATTATAATTTTCCTTGTGTTTCAATCCACTAATTGAAATTAATAAAATTATATACTTAATGGATGCTACATATAGAAAAATATATGTAAACCGTTTGAAAAAATGCCCATTTCGCATTTAATGCAATTAAAAAGAATGCATTCGAATATATACATGAATAAATTTTAATCCTCACAATTTTTTATCATATAGTCACATATAGTCACCTGAAATGCAAAAAGGCGTATCAACACATTAAAAATTTTTACAGAAAACTAAATATAATGAATGCTATTGTCGTTATAAAAATAAAATTTTCTTACGTGTATTATATCCTAACATCGATAAACACCATGCCAGCAATTCAACAAACTTTAAATGCATTAAAAGCCGACTTTTTCATCAACTAGTTATGGTTGATTATTGGATTATTTTTAATGGAGCCAACTGTCTATTTTAACATGGCGATGTCCTCCGCAGTAGTCAATTGTTCGACTCTGCATGACTTTTCAACAAACTAAAAGTTAGTTACTAAAAAATTAAATTTATTTACATTAATTAAATATAATTAAACTTTATTTAACTGTTAGTTATCTATATTACACTTCGCTTTAATAAAATATTCTTTAAAATCTCTTTTTTTAATTATGCAAAACATGTTAAAAACAGAGAAATCTGAATATTATAATATTATATTTACTGACTCTAATTTCACATGTATACAAGAATGGCAAAAATGTAAAACAAAATTCCAAATAATAAAGAAACATGAGAAAACACGTCGAAACAAAATTCTCTCCAGATAATTTTGGGGTACTTCTGCATTATATGATAGTTAGCTTGTATCTAGTTTTTAAAGTAGTTTGTTAACGTTAACAAATACCAAATTTTTGAACATTTCTGCATTACATTGTAGTCTGTAAAAGTAAACTAGAATTGAATTTTTTTCATAGTCGACTACAAAATTGTTGGCAGGGCATATTTGAATATCAGACACTGCCTCTTATCTTGCATTTTAGAACTTTCTGGCTTGTGGAAATGCCAAATTTGTTGTTACGCCCTTGTGAATTTCATGTGATGTTTTTGACAATAAAATTCTAAACATGGGACAACATGTATTTTGCTACTGCATCAAAATTCCCAGCAAAAAAATATATATTTAATTCTTTACAAACGACATCTTAAATACATCTAAAAATGCGATTATATATTTTTCGCTTTTATAAACCAAATACTTCTTTACAAATGAAAACCCAGTTAAAATCCCAGCAAAAAATGTGTGGAAAAAGATGTAGTATCTTCATCACAACCCAGCAAGTGAGGAAAAAAGCGAGGAAAAAGAAGTAGATCATTCATCACAAATAACATACTTGAAGTACTTCCAATTTTGGTGAAAAACCTATAATCGTTCGATTTTGAAAACTTTGAACTACATCTTATCTTATTTTTAGAAGCAGTAAAAATCCGGTATTTGGATGTCAAAAATAAACCACATTAATATCACGGTGTAACAAAATTATAAGTGTGATCTAGTGCAGTTTAAATTTTTGATATACCCCAGGAAACTGGGATTTTCTAAAAAAAAAAAACGATTTTTAATTGCTGTCGGACAAATTTCTTTAATCCGATTTAATTTTTTGAATCGGTAATAGAACGACAAACTCTACTATTTAAAAAGTATACATATTAGGAACTGAAAGTAGTTATTAGGAATCCATTTTTTTATTATTTATTTATTTTTTTTTTTCATTTTTATTTAGTACATTTTAAATCAGTTATTGCAAGATGTTCTCTTTATTCGATTCCATCTTTGGGCTGACGATTGGAAAAAGTCTTCCAAGATTAAAAGCAAATAGGTTTAGGTGCTAAGAATTCCATATTGTTTTAATTAAATTTGTCTAAAATTTGGATTATGGTTTGAATTTTTTAGTAGAGAACTTTTGCTTTTTTAGACTGATGGACTTGATCAAGTTTTTCAAGATGTTCATTTCCCATTTGAAAACTTCACACAAGCTGGAGAAGCTGTATCGGTGCGTGTAGTAATGGAGTCACAGCATCATCAACAAGGAACTGATGCATTGAGTGAAACATCTATTAATGTAGCAAATTCTTCTTTACAATCGACCTCACACAATCAATCTCATCAGCAGCAGCCACAACAGACGACTCCAAATTTAGTTCCTGAAGAATTTAGCGATACTGAAGACATGCTGGAAGGTATAAGAGACAAAGTGTTAATAGAGGACACATGTGATACCATGGATTTAATGACACCAACCTCGAATGGTGGAAAACCACACTGGTAAGATAATAAAGCAATAAATTAATAATGAATTTTATACTTTATACAATTTCTTAAAGGTTCACAAACAATTGTTTTAATGGTATTGATTTGAAAGTAAAACCGTTTTGTGATGTTTTATTTTCGGGACAATTTGCTCCTATTTTAAATACTGAACCTACTGTGCCTCTCATGCCAGCAGAAACTCATTTAACTTCGGGCAAACTGATGCATAGAGAACTGGAACAAAATCAAATTCAAACGTCTGTCCCTACTGCTCAGCAACCTACGCCAACACAACCAGTTCAAAATAATGCACATTTACGATTACAGTTTTCTCACTCAGAGCCATCTTTACTTCATAACGAACAATGTTTAAATAACGAGCAGCATCAAATTCCACTTCCATCTCACCAACTGAACGATCAGCAACTTTTAGAAGCACAACATATTAAAATTGAAGAAACTCCGCCTCACATCAATGACATTCCCTATCAAAATTCCGAAGACACTTTAAGTGGCAACGAACTGGAACCGGAAGAAGAACTTCATGAACATAATGAAAACACTGATGATGAATACAATTCTCATTTGGAACAAAGTCACGAAATTTTTTCATATAGTCAGTTAAAAGCCGAAGATTGTGATGAAAGTATACTCAATGACAATGGCGAAGAGATCTGTTTGGAAAACGATCATAATAACGAAAATGGCAAACGGAAACGTTACATCTGTAATAAATGTCAACGCATTTTCAATTCCTGCAATGCACTTAAATATCATAATCGCACACATTCCGGATTAAGACCACATCAATGCGATATTTGTGACAAATCGTTCTTTGCCATTGGTGCCTTAAAAGCCCATACACGCACTCACACGGGTGACAAGCCCTTCGAGTGTGAACATTGCGATCGTAAGTTTAGACAATGGGGCGATCTAAAATATCATACGATTTCTATTCACAGCACCGAAAAGAATCATCAATGTGAATTTTGTGGCAAAGCTTTTTCGCGCAAATACTCGCTTGTGGTCCATTTACGTATACACACAAGCGAAAGGAATTATAAATGTGAATTTTGCACGAAAACCTTTCGTGCCAGTACATATTTGCAAAATCATCGGAAAATTCATACGGGTACGTTAATATTTACTTTTACTGGTGTCCGAACGATATAAATAACGCTCTCTCAAAAAACATTGTTTGATTTTTTATTTTTTCCGACTTTGGTTTGGGTTTTTTTTATTTGTTTATCATCGTTTGGACACTTTTAACCTCCTTAAATTATTTCAAAATAATATGTTTAAGACGTTTGTGAATTTACAAAATTTTCTAGGCGAAAAACCGTATGAATGTGATGTTTGTTCTAAAAGATTTCGAGTCTCTGGCGATTTACGACGTCATCAACGAATTCACGAGCGTAAAAAGCAAAAACTGGAGTTATTAAAGAAAAATAAGGAGACATAGTTTTAACAGGACTGGGCTCTGTTTCATTCTTAGTCATTATTATTAATTACAAAAGAACAATAACATTAATGTAGCATTACTGATTTTTAACTTATTATTTAAAACAAACAAAACATATTAGTATTACATTTTCAATACAAAAGTTCATTAAGAAAAAATTGTATAGTTTTAATTGTAGTCAAATAAATAAATAAATAAATAAATAAGTTTTATATTTTATGAAATATCGAAAAAAAGTAAAACGGAATAAATTGTTGCAATGCTTATGATAAAGGGATTTTTATATTTTACCGTTTTACCGTTGTTTATATATTGTTCTGTTTTAATATTGTTATGAACATCTTTAATATTTACAAAAAAATTAACAAAATTATTCTAATTACAAGCTTTTATTTACCTTGCTTTGTTAGTTTGTTGGTTTATTTTGGTACAATTTTTGAAACTGAGTTTTTTCGACCAGTTTCTGTAGACCAATTTTGTTAAAATTGTGCACAAATAATTACACCTGATGAAAAACCTAAATTTAATAAAAAAATTTGGAGTTATGTTAGTATGTTGTTGAAAATCTTAATAGAATTTTTAAACCACTAAAAAATGCTGAAATTTGTAATATATGTAGACATCAGATAATAATACAATGTAATGTTCGAATTTTCAAAATTTTATTCGAAAATTTTAAGTTATATTCGATTTGTTCCTTAATTAAACAAAAACTGAAATCGCGTTGATACGGCCGATTTTATTTTTTTTTTATAAAAATAGATTTTTGTTAGAAAATATGATTGATCAAAGATTTCTAATATTTTCCTAATTGAAGTGTTATTTAAGGATCTACTGCGATTTTTGGGTTTGTCGCGGTTTGAGCAATATTTTTCAATCACGGGAAATACAGTTTTGAACTAAAAACCAAAAAATAGAACATTTTAAGAATTAAAAAACGGTGGAAATTTATATTATTTTGTGCATCAAAAATGGTTATAAATCGTTGCAGATTTATTACAGGGAATACCGGACTTTGGTACGTAGAAACAGTATAAAATATGTAGGACAACTATTTTTGAAACAAAATGAGCGAATCGTTCTTTATTATCCATTAATGGTTCTACAAATTTACTTTCGAACAATCGTCTTTTTTCGAAAAAAGAAGTTTCAAAAAATTGGTAAATCGTTTCTCCCTCTGGGAACGACGTGGATTTTTCTTAACTATTTTACTGACGTGATGTCTACGAGACACCAATTTTTGAAAGCTTATATTTTCTAAGATCTGTTTTTTTAAACCTACTGAAATTATTTATGTTTATAGTTTAAGGGTCTAGGTTGTTATTTATTATAATATTTTTTTTAATTTCGACACTATAATACTTACATGTTAAAGAGTGTTTATTGACAAGGTACAAATTGAAAAATCAAATTTTTCTGAATTTTTGGTGTCTGTCAGACTAACACGTCTGTCCCAGAAGGTTTATTAAACTTGCTTTGTTAGTTTATTAAAATGTAAAAAATTTAATTTGAAACTTCCGAGTTATATTAGTACGTTGTTGAAATTTTTAATATAATTTTAAACCACTTACTATAGCTAAAATTTGTCATATATGAAGATATCTCATAATTATATACATTCATAATGTTATGTTCGAATTTTTTAAATTGTCTGTCAGAATACCACGTCAGTCCCAGAAGGTTTATTAAACTTGCTTTGTTAGTTTATTAAAATGTAAAAAATTTTAATTTGAAAATTCCGAGTTATATTAGTACGTTGTTGAAATTTTTAACATAATTTTAAACCACTTACTATAGCTAAAATTTGTCATATATGTAGATATCTCATAACTATATATGTACATTCATAATGTTATGTTCGAATTTTTTAAATTCCATTCGAAAATTTGAAGTTAGTTTCGAAAAAAATAGTTATAAAAATGTAAACACGCTTTGATTTATGAATTTGAAATGTGTGGTTTAAAAGCTTGTTATAAAAGCAACATTTTAAATTTGAGGCCACTTTGAAAATGACCCAATGAGCCCATTTTTTGCTGCGTTCAACACACAAACACCTACACATAATGTAATAACTAAAAACTTAGTGCATCCTGCACGTACATATATTCCTTATTGGAAAGATTTTGCTGAGAAACTTCACCATTATATTTTTTTACATAAATATTGAAAAAAAAAGAAAAAGTTCAAAAAGTTGGCAATTTCAAAAGTCAAAGAGTCGACTTTTCATAAATTTCAATAAGACATCTGCTTTTTTCAAACAGAAGTTTTCAATGTTTCACAATTTTTATATTTTCAACATTTAGCAACACTTATATATAACGAAATCGATTTACAACACTAATTATGCATGGCAATTCCTTAACAAAATGGTCGTGATAAAAAATCAAAAGTTTTTCAGCAGAGTCTGAGCAAATCTGTTTTATTTTATATAAAGTCAATATTGATGATGTTCAGTGGTATCGAAGTTAATGGTGAAGTTTCTCAACAAAATCTTTCCAATAAGGAATATATTTACGTGCAGGTTATTAGTTATAACATTATGTGTACGTGCTTGTGTTGAGCTCAGCAAAAATGGACTCATCATTTTCAAAGTGGACTCAAATTTAAAATTGGCAACATGATAACAGAAAACAGCCGATGCAGTAAAAAACAAAAAATTTACTGACAAAAAAAGAAGAAGAATTTATACATATGCTCATAATTATTTAGGAGACTGGTTCAAACTGGTGTTAAAATTTTAAAAAGTTGGAGTACCGAATGTTTTCCTAAAATTGATAGAACATATTCACGCAATTGGCGTTGGTCTGAAAGTGCAGAAGTTAAACTTAAATCCAAAACTGAACGGCTTCAAATTCAGATGCAACAAAAAACCGCACATCTAGTTCTAAAAGAAATCATCAATTAAGCGAAACATCTAGATTTAAGAGTCCAAATTCTTATTCATCACACATGAAATTAACATCTAAAAGTTCAAATTCTCATTATAAAAATTCGAAAAGCTCTGCAACTGGTAGTAAAAATTCAAGTCACGAAGAAAAATCTCGAAAATCGAGTACTTGTAGTCCACATTATGAGCGTTGTGAAGCGGAAATGAAAAAAATGGATAAAGAACCCGAATCTTTGCAAAAACATCGTAAATCCAAAAAATCTAGGCGATATAATGAAGTCATATATTACAAGGTAAGAATATTTTATTAATAACACATATCAGAATTTCTTTTATAATGATGGAAAGTGATATTTAAAAATTTAACAAAAAACAGCGAACCGTTAAAACTACAAATATTTGTATACTATAGTATTACTTATCCATCTTTAAAGTCCAAGAATCTACTAAAACAAGTTGTTGATCTAATAAGCTTTTGTATAGAAATTATGCTAAAATGTTAGATTTCTTGTTCTGTATAGAGTGCCATCATATCAAAAAAGGAAATTTTGATAAATTTTACTCGATCATGAATGACATCTCAACTTTGAGTTCCACATAACGTCCGTACATCGAAAAGTTTGTTTTATTTTACGTATTCTATATTCTATGAATATTCACTTGCCCTTTAGTGTGAAGATTAGGTTGGCTAAGGCATTTTTGAAGCCTCAAATTTTATATGGATTGGAGGTTGTATCAGGCACTATTTGTGTGAACATGCGAAAGCTAGGTCTTATTGTAAATTCGATTACCAGATTTGTGTATAATGTTCGTAGACGTTAACATATTGCTGAGTTTGTAGTAAGATTTCTTGGTAGTCTTTTTCTTGAGTTTGTTAAGTATCGAAATATTTATTTATTTTATAGGATAATTAGGGATGGCATAATAAAACAATTTTGTGAAAGGTTTTGTTACTCTCGTTCTACTAGGAATAAACAGACTCTTATCCCTAGGGTGAGATGTTCTACATTTGGCAGATCTTTTGTTGTTAGGATAGCCTGTTGGTGGAACTGCCTCCCGTTTGAATTGAGAATTTTCTCTCATTCGAATGTTATATAATTTTCAAAAATGCGAAAGTTATAAGGTTGTTTACGAGGCAAAAGGCTTCGACTTGATGACTTAATATCTCTCCCACGATTAAGACAAAGTGATATCCATATTCTACGATACCTTGTTATATCAATAACATCGAAGCCAATTTCGGCTTACAATGTATTTCAGATAGACACTAATTTCAGATATACTAATTTCGAAAGATTTTTTTGTTTTTGTACTTAAGTGGCAGAGATTATTTAAGCAATAACGCCAGGGTATCCCACGTTTTTTTAAGGAAATCCTCCAAGTCGACCTACATATACCTTCCTATAGGAAGCAGGGAACCTTCAAACAGTAAGTAAATCTTGAGTTTTCGGTGGTACTCTAAAGTTGAAGAGTTTTAATGAACTCCACCAGGGTAAAAACGCTTCTAGTATTAAATGGTCCCAACCAGCCTGACCGTCCTTAAAAAATTAATAGCGATGACGCGCAAGTTGTTCACCAACTCAGACTCGAATTGCGAATGCCATTATTTTTATTTATAATCCTGAAAACATATATTTTACATTATATGAAACAGTTCGTTAACAATTAAAAAAGTCGGAAGTCAAAGAGTCGACTTTTCATAAATGCAAAAAGTCGACTTTTTATTTCAACATTTTATGTTGCACAGTTTTTATATTTTCTACATTAAGCAACACTAATATGAAAACGTTTTACAACACTAATTACAACGGTATTATCAAAGAGTGTGTAAATCATCGAAACGCAATTAGCTTTCAAATATTTGTGTCCAAAATATAAATATAATTTGTAAACGGATTTTTTTGTCCAATTGTTTAGCTGCTAATTATTAGAAAAAATATAACTTCGTGGCTAAACAGCAGTAATGCCAAGAAGAATGTTAAACTAAAAAACTAAGAAAAATAAGTCGTGGGATAATTCTTTCTAATACGGCCAACGGCAGTAACGTGGTAGCTGGTGATTCTTAACAATCTGGGACAAATAATGTAAGTTGTTTTGTATTTTTAAAAAGTTTATTTGATTTACTAAGGAGTTTTGCAAGATTTACTTTAGTTTCGCAATCATTTGCATACCTTAAATCCAGGTTGTAGCCAAGTTTTTACTACGCATTCATACATGGAAAGAGAGTGTATCAAGCATTGAAAATTAAAATTTTAAAATAGTACCAACATACCGATGGAATAGATTATTAACTAGGATATTCAACCCTACTCT